GGTCACCGCGGGCACCGGTGCCCTTGTCCATGGGCTGTATTTAAGGCCCTCTCTGGTGGCAGCACCGGGAAGCAAACGACTGCTTTCAGTGCCGGTCAATGAGTTTGTGTTCGTGTTATACCCACAGGTTGCTCCCTAGGTTGCTCAGGCACTAGGCCAGGCTGCATTTGGTGCCAATTGCAAACGCGACAGGGTGAGTGTCCTACCCCTGGGGGGCCCTCAGCCCACGGAGGTGGCTCCTTAAATCCCTGCCCAGAGACACCGTGGAGCCCCAGGGGGTGCCACGTACCCCACGGCTCTCCCGGTGCCTCGGAAGCAGCTCGTGGCGGGCAGAAGGGGTTTCCTCGTCACTGCACTGCCTTTGGTCGCAGGCCAGCACAAACACGGCCTCGGTCAGGCCGCGTTGCTTTGCTGGCTGGCAGCCACGGAAGGTGCCAGCCGAGGGGAGCGAGTTGGGAGATGCGTACCCGCTCGGTCCCTGCAAGGGATCGGCCGCAGCGTTTCGTCCTGCTCCCCCCGGCCCTCGCTCCTCTTGTGCCGTTAAAGACCCGGTTATTTGCGTAGCTTTTGGGGGAGGATGCGACAGCTTGAGGGCGTTTTCCTTCTTAAGTGCAGAATGGGTCTGGGGAATAGGGATTGCAGTACAGCCCCAGGCCTGCCTCTCTGGTATCTATCCAAGTAACAAAGGGGAATTTGGAAGAGTCAAAGAGGAGAAATGAGGTTGGGGAAAGGCTGTTAGACCTTGGCACCTGTCGGGTGTCAGGCAGCTGGAAATAGGTGTGTGCAGGTTTAGTGGTAGCATTTCATGGGAGAGATGTGTAGTGCTGTCGGTTTTCGTTTTCAGTGTTAGCACTTGCATAATTATAGGGATTCTCAGTGAGCAAATGTCTGTCTCCTGATACTGCCACCAGCACTAAAGCCACTTGCTGGCCTTTGTTGTCATTCATTTGCCCCCCACTAAACATCTCGGCTCTGACGCTGCTCTTGCCACTTGCCAATACATTAACAGCAGCCCTTGCTGAGCTAGGCTGTTCCTTCCTGTAAGAGGCCCACAAAAGGCTGAGCTTCTGGGGTGTGTAGGATGTGTCCACAGACACCCAACACCTAGAAGTGAAATAGTGAAGGAAGGGATGCACAACCATGCGCTGGAAAGCCTGTCCTCGGAAAACCAGGCACCTTGGTCATGCAGACAGCATTGGGTTTCGGTGCAATCCCCGTGGGCACGTGGCCGTGCTCACCAGGGACCCTCCTGGGAGGCTGCCCAGAGCTCTGCGCGCTCGGCAGAGGTCGAGAACCGCAATTGCAGGTGCTGCAGCCGGGTTTGCTTCACTCTGAAGATTAGACCCCTCCTGGCCTTAGTCGGTGCTGTTAATTGCCCAGCTCTTTCTGCCCCACTAGTTTGAATAAACCCTTTTCCACAAACCAACGATTTACTAGAAGGAAATGCACAACTTCGTTGCTATGTCTGCTTGCTAAAAGTTACTTCTTTTTTTTCCCCCCTTACCACTCTTCAGTTTTACGTGAAACCATCAAAGGCATCTCACCAAATTAACAGGATCAAGTTTCCCCATATAACTTTTATAGGATAAGTACTCTCTTGCATTTCCAAACAGCACTTTGGCTGGAATAGCCAGTAAAATTTAGTTTCTCTATTCATTCAGTTTGAAGAGGAGAGACACAAGCACCAGCTGTTTTCCAGTGTCTTTGGGCAAGACTTTTTATGGTGAGCACAATTTAGTTCAAAATTTTAGGTGAAGGGAGCATTCCACAGTGAAAGAGTTGAAGATTATAGCATCAGCTTGTTTTCAAATCAGCTAATCTCCCCTTGTTTTCAGCACAGGACAAACACAGCATTAACAGAAGTTGCCAGAGCAACATTTAATTTTGATCTCCCCAAAATCCATCTGCACATGGATGTCTTTGCACATACGAGCACCCCTGCATCCTGCACACATGCACTTCCTTGGACACCATGAGGTTTTTTGCAGGATGAGCGCGCTGTGCCCGATGGATGCTGTAGGACGGGCTCCTTGCCGCTTGAGGCTGAGTCCTCATGGCCCCGTTCCAGTGTGCAGCTTGGCCACGCAGATCACATTTTTTTAACTTTTGTTTAGTTTGGTGGTGGTCAGATTTGCATGTGACCTTATGCCTGTGCTTATGAGCGTAGCTGCACTGAAATCAGGGAGTGCAGGAGCCCTTCAGGCAGCTGGCAGTGCCCCTTGCATGCAGCATTTGTGAGCTGCTCGTGCGTTAGTCCATCGCGTGGCTCATGTGCTGCCCTCCTGACTCTGTGCAGAGCTCTGCCCGTGAAAGTGTGAGTCAGAGCTAAGCCGTGAGGTTGATTTCAAACCGGAAAGTCTTAGAGACTAAAATTTAAAATGGCTGGAAAGATTTGTGAATGAAAACGTAAGGGAAATGCTTGGGACATTTGTGCTGAGCAGCCCAAAGCACACGGGGATAAAAGCCCTTTCCCCGCGTGCTGGCTGCGGGCGCCTCTCGGGAGAAGCAGGGCTCACGGCGAGCGCGGGGCTGCGCGGCACGGACGGCAGCACGCGCGGCAGACGGCTCTGCTGCCCTCCCGCCCGCCTCGGCGGCCGCGTTGGGGATTTACGGATTGGTAGCCTGGGAGTTCTGCATGTGGTGGAAGCTGGCGTTTCTGGTGTACTTGGGGCCGATCCTGCTGTACTGCTGCTGCGCACGCGTGAAGCTTCCCTTGCTCCCTCCCCAGCCTCCTGCGCGCGCTCGAGGTCAGACCCAGAGCTCTGTGCTGCTGTCGCGTCTTCCCGTGCCCAGAGCCTCCGGGCGCCTTTGGAAAAGGCTGATGTGGCCAGTGTCAATCACAGCTACTGTATTTGTGCCAGAAGGAAAACTCACCAGGAGGGTGAAAGGAAGCCAAGCTGAAAACACAGTGGTTGGCAGAAAGGGATTTTTTTTCCATTCGTTGGTAGCATCTCAGCTCAGTCCGAGCCTACGTGCGGGTGGGCTCCCCATGGGAGCCTCCTTGCGGCCTTGCTCGCGTACGGGGCTGCGAGCTGGGGAATCGCTCACCTTCCAGCTGTGGCCAGCGAGCTTGGCGATGGGGCTGGCGAGGGGAGGCCCCAGGGTGAGCAAGGGGCTTGCAGGGGGGTGACAGGCGCTCGCCCCTCCCCGGCGCTTCCCCGCGAGCCTGCCCGGCCTCCGCTGCTCCCCGGCCATTAACCTAGTTTAGCGCCGGCACTGGCAGCGTGACAGTGATGTTTTTCCTCCAGCTTTTTCTCTGACAAATCTGGTGGAATTGGGCTGTCCTGAAACACTCGGATGAATGCTGTTCTTGCAGCGCTCCTCTGCCTGTCGCGGATTAAATCCTGCTCCGAATACCGCTTCAGAGAGCGGCTGCAGCACGGCCCCCTGCCTTGCATGTAGGCAGGTC